TTGTGTTAGTGGAAGAGTTAGCAGATAATACTGTTTCTACAGTGTCTGCTTCAAAATGATGAAGACCAGACAGTATAAGGAGTCAAGAGACAGGGAAATATTTTGAAGTTATGTGAAGACTTTTATTAGCAGTTTTGAAAAAAAAGGATCTATAGAATTTCAAGTTTTCATGCATACTTGTTTATTATATCAATACATGACATATGCTAGAAAAAACAAATTGAAAAAAGAAACCACAAAACTAAACTGGGAGGGCATAAGCACCCTGTAATTCCCTTGAGAAATACACATGCAGTTTTTCTCAGAAATGCGGTTTTTTTACTTGAGGCAGAATGAGATTTTAAGCTGAAGAGAAAGAAGCTCATGGAAAAATATTATGTGAACATGGATTTAGAACACTTATGAAAAAAGATTTTTCAAAATACAGGTTAGTTAACAAGTTTGAACGGTTGTGTGCATGCATATTTTTTTTTTTTAGGAAACACTTCTTAAGGAATGTGTAAATGAATAAGAATATTATTGTGTGAAATCTATGCAAGTCAGGTCTTCTGCTGTATATACATGCATTATTACAGTGTAATCAAAAATTAAAATCATTTTTCCTGAGAGTTAAGGCTCGCACAGTAGTTGGCTTAGTTAGTTTGGCAGTTTTCCCTCATCAACACCAACAAGGTGAGCTCTCCAACAATGCCCTGGCTAGCTCACACAATGCAGTATATGCAGTAAAGGAGAGGGAACCGTTTTCCTGCTCTCATGACCTAGGCACCAGCTGATGTGTAGCAAACACCAGGGCCAGCTCAATGTTTTGCCAAGTTGAAGTACTGGGTCAACTCTCCTAATTGCTTTAATTTGTAGGGTGCAGGGCTAGCCAGCTCTCCCACTCTCAGGCCCCCAAGGCCAGCTCTCTTTCACGCTGTAGGTGACAAGGAGCAGGAGGAAAGGCCACTTTACCCTCATCCATGCCACCAAATGTCAGATGGGGGGGAGTATGGCTAGGTCTCTGACTCTCATACCCTCGGGGCAAACTTACCTGAGCTCCCACCAAAATGTTAAGCTCTGGTATGCTGCCCTGGTCAGGGGCAAGGCCCACACTACAAAATGTCGCAGCCGGTGAGGGTCAGGATCAGCTCAAACTCTTTTGAGACCCTGAGACTAACTTTTCTGCCTTCCACAGGTGGCGATGAGGGAGGGAGGAGAAGACAAAAGAGCATCTCTTTCTCACTCATTCTACCACATGCCCGACAAATAATGAGGCTAGCTCTCACACTCTTACTCCTTCTAGGCCAACTCACCCACACCTCTGCCAGCATGGTCTAATCTTCTCTGCTGTCCTTGACAGTAAAGTCCAGGCTAGATGATACCATGGCCCTATGTGGAAGCAGAGACTGCTCACATATATATGGCCCCAGCAGCAACATGGCCCTTAGATATTTACATGGCCCTAGCTGGTATCCTAGATGCTGCTTGTCCAGGTGATTCTTAGTGGAAACATGGGCCATGGAAATTCAACACAGACTCTGACTACATTTGGACCAGAGACCCTGACGTGGTCCTTGTCCGCATCCTGGACCATAATGTCACCCGGTCCCTGGTTGGCAATACAGGTCATAGATTATCATGAACTCAGTGACTTCATGACCCTCAAACACCAACATGGCCTCAGGTGGTAGTCTAGTCTCTAGTAATCTGCATGGTGTTTGATGGCAACAAGACTCTAGTACGTTGACATTGACCCTGGCTGCAGCTGGGCCATGAACCCAGTCATGGATCAGGCCGTATCATGGCCCAGTCTATAGCTCAGTCTCTATAAACCCATTGTCCTGGTGGGCAGTGCATGTCACTCATGCCTGTATTTCCCTGGCAGTAGCATGACCTTCAGGCAACAACCTTGCCACAGTTGGTGGCCCAGATTCTCAACATCTCCGTGTTCTTTGGTGGCAATATGAATAGCTTCAAGTTCTCGGTCATTCAAATAGTTTGGATATACATTCCATCTTGTAGAGCAGTCTTAAGTCAAATTAGTTGGTTACTCCCACAAAAGTCTCAGGGGGTGGGGGAAACAAACTACTCTGGAATAGTCTATGTACCCAGCAGTAGATGGCCAAAAGAAAACAAGCTCTAAGACATTTTTGGAGGTTCATTGATTTGTAATATCATATTAATGGTTTTAAAAGTGGGCTTCTGGGAACCATGATAATTGCCAGCATAGTAATATATTCATAACGGTGAAGTAAATCATACTCACATGTTAGTGCCAAAAAGAAAATGACTGCCTTATTGGACATACGGCCCACACATATGGGAAATCGTGTCTGGAAAACTAGTCAATTGCCTAGGTTTATGAGCCTTAGAAAAGAGTTTTCTATTACCACTACTAATATTACTACTACTACTCTGATAGACAAGTATAATTCCTTACCTTATTCCAAACCTTATCCTTATTTCATAGATCAGTGTAACTAACAATCTTTAGTTTGTCTTTATTGCAAATAAAAAACATCAGTGTAAAACACATCTAGACAGAATGCAGAAATATATTTTTGGGAAATCCAGTCCCAGTGGATATACCTGTATCACACTTCTTGCATATAAGGAAAAAAGAAGAAAGAAAATAAAAACAGGAAAAAAAAAACAGAAAGTCATAAAACAGAGTGGATGATGAGGAAATTGTCTATGTCCGATGATAAACTTATGAATATGAGCAAGATATTAAGTAATAGCTAAATAAGTAAATTCTGACTGGCCCTTACAAAAGTTCCATAGAGTTGTCTTCTGTGTTTTTGATCTTGGTCATTCTGACTGGTGTAAGATGGAATATCAGAGTTATTTTGACTTGCATTTCTCTGATAGCTAAGGATGTGGAGCATTTCTTTAAGTGTCTTTCGGCCATTTTAGATTCCTCTGTTGAGAGTTCTCCGTTTAGGTCTGTACCCCAATTTTTATTGATTTTCTTGTTCCTTTGATGACCAATTTCTTGAGTTCTTTGTATATTTTAGAGATCAGCCCTCTGTCTTTTCCCATTCTGTAGGCTGCTGGTTTGTCTTGTTTTACAGAAGCTTTTCAGTTTCAGAAGGTCCCATATATTAATTGTATCTCTCATTGTCTGTGCTACTGGGGTTATATTTAGGAAGTGGTATCCTGTGTCAATGCATTCAAGTGTACTTCCCTCCTTCTCTTCCTAAGGGTCAGTGTGGTTGGCTTTATGTTGAGGTCTTTGATCCACTTGGTTTTGAGTTTTGTGGGGTAAAGGAAACATGTTTGCATTGTTGATGGGCATTTAAACTGGTACAGTCCCTTTGGATATCAGTATGGTGATTTCTCAAAAAAATTAGGAAACAACCTCAGTCAAGACTCAGAAATAACACTTTTGGGTGTATATACAAAGGATGCTCAATCATACCACAAGGAAATGTGCTCAATTATGTTCATAGTAGCATTGTTTGTCATAACCAGAACCTGAAAACAACCTAAATGCCCCTTTGACTGAAGAATGGATAAGAAAATTGTGTTATATTTACACAATAGAGTACGACACAGCACAGAAAAATAATGACATCTTGATATTATAGTGAGTGATGTAACACAGACCCAGAAAAACAATTATATGTATTCACTCATAAGTGGCTTTAAGACATAAAGCAAAGAAAAACAGCCTATAATTTACAATCCCAGAGAACCTAGACAACAATGAGGACCCTAAAAGAGACATGCATGCATCTCATCTACATGAGAAGCCAGAAAAGACGAGATATCCTGGGTAAATAGGAATCACGGGAACCATAAAAGAAGGTAGAAGGGAAGGGGAGCAGAAAAAAATGTATAGCTCAATAAAATCAATTAAGAAAGAAAAGATAACAGAGCAAAAAAAGTTCCATTGAATCATATTTCTGTTCTTTTCAATCTAGTTGCATAGTATTTTTCCTTGTGTTGTTAAAAGCTTCTAGGGGACAAATTTTAGATAAATTAATCTTATCAATCGTTAGTTAAACAGAGAAATAGATGTGTTGTATGATACTTGGAGACTGTAGATCAGGGAGTTCCAAGGACCAATAAAGGGATCATAATGTTATAGACAGAAAATCTATATTATTATTCAGAAATCAACTAACTGCCTAAAATTTAGCTTTTACAGACATTGACTACCTTGCAACTTTTGCAGAGACATGGAAGAAAACATATATTTTCCCACAAATAATCACTGAAAGAGCAAATGAAGCATTCCATCCAAGCCCTTCTGGTGAACCAATGTGACTATTGGGGTTAGAGAAACATGGGCGTAGAGTTATTCATGGGAACATGACTGTCATGAGTACATATCAATCAATCAGTCAATCAATTTCTCAATCCTTCCTCTCAACATGGACTCATTAAAGCCATTTGGAGAAAATGTCTGGATTCCCAGTCAGCATTCTGCTTCTTCCTTTTTGCTAACTCCAGTCTAACTGCCACAAGTGAAGGAGGGACTTGTGCCTGGAATTTCAGGTAAGTCTCCTCGATCAAGATCAGCCTTACCCTAGG